AATTTGTGTACAGGTTTGTGTGGATATAAGTTTTTAGTTCTGTGGGATAAATGCCCAGTACTGTGATTGCTGGGATGAATGGTCAGTATATGTTTAGTTGTTGTTGCTGTTTTTGTGTTTTGTTTTTTTTTTTAAGATTATTTATTTGAGCGAGAGAAAGAATGAGCGGGAAGGAGGGGCAAAGGGAACAGGAGAAGCTGACTCCCTGCTGAGCAGGGAGCCCAATGTAGGGCTTGGTCTGGGACCCTGGGATCATGACCTGAGCCAAAGGCAGACTCTTCACCAACTGAGCCACCCAGGTGCCCCTGCTGCTGTTTTTAAAGAAAACATCAAACTTTTTTCTAGGGGGGTTATACTATTTTACATTTCCAGGAATGTATGAAAGATTTAGTTTCTTTGCATCTTTGCCAACACTTGTTATTATCATGATTTCCTCTTTTAGTTATTCTAATTGGTATATAATTACATCTCATTTTGGTCTTAATTTCCATTTTCTTGATGGCTGGTAATATTGACAATCTTTTCATCTGTCTTATTTGCCATCCATATCTTCTTTTCAGTGTAGTATCTCTATGTCTTTTGACGAGTTTCTATTTGGATTGTATGTTTTTTCAGTGTTGTGTTTGAGTTTATATTTTCTGGGTATGAGTTTTTTGTTAGACATGGGTTTTTTGTAAGTGTTTTTTCCCCCAATGTGTAGCTTTTTATTTTATTATTAATTTTTTTGCTTATTTTTAAATATTTTAATTAAATCCGGTTTATTGATTTTTTTTTTTTTTGGCCCTATGCATCATACTTTTTTTTTTTTTTAAGATTTTATTTATTTATTTGACACAGAGAGAGAGATAGAGAGCATAAGCCGGGGGAGTGGCAGGCAGGCAGAGGGGGAAGGAGAAGCAGGCTCTCTACTGAGCAAGGAGCCCGATGCGGGGCTCAATCCCAGGACCCTGGGATCATGACCTGAGCCACTGCCTGAGCCACCCAGGTGCCCCTGCATCATACTTTTTGATGTTGTGTGTGTCTGAGACCTCTTCACCAAACCCTAAGTCCTGCAGGTTTTCTTCTAAAAGTTACATAGCTTTACATATACATCTATGATCTATTTTGAGTTAATTTTGGATAAGGTGTAGGGTTTAGGTCCAGTTTTTTTCCTATGGATGTCCAGTTGCTCCAGAACTACTTGTTGAAAAGACTGTTCTTCCTCCATTTAATTGCTGTTATACCTTTATAAAAATTAGTTGGCCATATTTGTGTGGATCTTTTTATGGGTACTCTTCTGTTTCCTTGATCTGTGTATCATATCAATTATGTATCTCCATTTATTTGGATTCTCTTTCATTGCTTTTATCAGCATTTTGCAGTTTTCAGTATATGTCCTACGCGTTTTGTTAGATTTATTTATTTAATTTTCTTTTGAACAATTATAAATGTTATTTTACTTTTTAAAAAAAGTTTTAAATTCCAGTTGGTGTAATAACAGTGTAATATTAATTTCAGGTATACAAATTGTTATTGTACCTTTAATCTCATTTTTCATACATTCATTGCTAGTATATAGAAATACATTTGATTTTTGGGGCACCTGGGTGGCTCAGTCAGTTAAGTGTCTGCCTTCAGCTCAGGTTATGATCTCAGGGTCCTGGGATCAGGCCCTGTGTCATTGGGCCCCCTGCTCAGCAGGGAGTCTGCTTCTCCCTCTCCCTCTGCCTCTCCCCACCCCCTGCTCGTGTTCTCTCTCTCTCAAATAAATAAAATCTTAAAAAAAGAAACACAGTTGATTTTTGTATGTTGCTCTTGTCTCCTGTGACCTTGCTGGACTAACTCACTTATTAGCTTTAGGGTTTTTGTTTGTTTGTTTGTTTTGGTTTGGGTTTAGGTTGTTGATTCTATGTATCAGTCATATTATCAGTACCTAGGGATTTTATTTCTTCCTTTCTTATCTGTATACCTTTTTTGTTTCTTTCTTGTCTTATTGCTTAGGCTAGAACTTCCAGTTGTATGTTAAATAGTAGTGATGAGTATGGATATTCTTACCTTGTTCTTGACCCCAGAGGGAAAGCATTCTGTCTCTATGATGTTAGTTGTACGTTTACATAATAGTGATATTATGTAATACCTAGAGCAGCCATTGGAATTCCTGATTCTGTAAATAGCCTGTTTTTTTCTCCATGGAGACTTGTAGAAACTTCTTGTTACCACTATCCTGAAACAATGCACATTGGGGTTGGTTTGTTGAATCTATTGTTCTAGACCTTCAAAGGGCTTATAAAGTTATATTCTTTGTTCTGGGGAAAATTTTTGGAATATTTCATAGATGATTTCTTCCTCTCTATTTTCTCTTTTTTTTCCCCCCTTTTCTCCTATCTATAAATTGGACTTTTGAGGAACATCTGTAACATATTGTGTGTGTGTGTAGATTAATGCTGTTTTCCTCTAGTTTTTGTGTTTTTACTCTTTGAGAAATTTTCTTAATTTTACCTTTGACCCTTGTGTTGAGTTTATTAAATAATCTACCTTGTTTTTTTAATTTCTAGGAGCTCCCTTTTATTCTCCAAGAGTCCATTTTTCATTGCATTCTTGTATTGTTCCATGCCTAAAATATCTTTTCTTGTATCTTACAAATTATTAGTGGTGTGTGTGTGTGTGTGTGTGTATAATGTTTTTCTTCCTGTATAGAGTTAGCCACTTGCGGATGATTGTTTTCCTTGTTTGCACATATTTGTAAGTGGCAAACTAAAAACCTGATCAAAAGTTCTGTGTTTTGTTTGCCAATTTTTAATTTATTGTTTGGTGCTTTGGTTGTGCTCTTTGTTGGAGCCTTCTGATTGACAGTGTCTTTTGGTCTTTCTTCATGGACTGACTTGTTAAATTCTCCGGAGAAAGCTCACAAGCTCCTTTACAATCTCCTAACTGTATCAGGATAAATCTCAGGTGTACCTAATGTAATCAGTTGTCAAGTCATTTGAGTCTCAGATGTTATTTTTTTTCCCCAGCACTAGCTTGAACTTTTACTTAGGGCTGCTAAGTTAGTCATTACTCATCTGTTTCCAAAATTTGTTGCCCACAAATTTTATTATATAGTTTTCAACCCTGTTTGATTTAATGTACTTTAACTGGAATTTTCAGAAGGGATAAAATGAAATGTGTGTCTTCAGTCTACTAGCTTGTCTCAGAGATGAAACCACTTACTTGTCTCTTCTGGCATTAGTCTCCTTATTTAAAAACAAAGCAGAATTTTCGGGGAAATTAATAATATTCATATGGTTTGAAAACTAAAAAGTACAAAGTATATGGACAATGAAAACTTTTTTTCCACATATTTGTTCCCTGTCTTTTGCTTTTCCCATTTTCCCTCCCATAGGTGACCATTAGTTAGGATTTTTTATGTATCCTTAGAGAGTGTATGTAGGTATGTATATATGCAAATAAGTCTTTCTTTCTCTATGTTTTACAAAAGATGGGAATAGTATTCTGTATTTTTCTATTTTTGTATATATATTTTTCCACTTTATATTTTGGATTTCATTTCATATTTTCATAGAGTATACATTTATTTTTTTATAGGTGTAGGAAATACTTCATTATATATTTGGACCTTATTAGTCTTCTGCTGTTACAAACAATGCTATAGTGAATAATTTTGTATTCAAGTTATTTTTCTCATGGCTGAGTATATGTGTAGGGTGAAATCTTAGCAGTGATATTTCTCTGTTAAAGGCTATTTGCATTTAGAATTTTGATTGATATGGCCAGAGAATTTTACAGAACTTTTGGATTTTTTTGAGAAGGTCTTATGTATAGGTCAGTGTCTATCAATATAATTAAAAGTTTTTTAATGGAGAATTTCTAACTTATTAGAAGTAGTAAAAACAATATAACAATCTCTAAGAACCTATTACCCATCATTTTATGGCTAATCTTATTTCATTAGCATCTGTTCTCCTTCATCCAGAATGTTATGAACTATTCCCTCCCAGATATCATACTAGCCTATTGGTTAATATTTTATTATTTATTTCCAAAAGATAATCTTAAAATTATAACCATAGTACCATTTTCACTTCTAAAAAGTTAGCAAATTTCAGTATAGTTTTTCAATATAGTTCTAAGTAGAATTTCTAGTTTTAAGTGGAATTTCTCTTACGTGTGAGGTTGAGCATCTTTTTATGTGGTTCTGAGCCTTTTTGTATTTCCTGACTTTATTCTTCTGCTTGTTGCTACTATATTGGTTTTATATCCAGTAATATTGTTGAGTTCATTTATTGTTATTATCCTGTCTAGGACTTGAGTATAGGGTTGAATAAGAACAGTTAATTGGGTATCCTTGTGTTATTACTGATTTTCATGGGAATGCTCTAAAGCATTACCTACAATTTTGTTATAGAATCTTTTGTAAATAATCATTGGGAAAAGAAAACTTATTCTTGTTGTTTTCTTTTGTTCTTATCATGACTAGGTATAGAATCAAATGCTTTTTGGCATTTGTTGAAATGCTAATATAATGAATTACATTAGTAGGTTTTGTAATGTGAAATTATTACTTGGGTAAATCCAACTTTGTTATGAGATGTTTTTTTCTAATATATTGCTATTCAGTTTACTATTTTTAAAAGGATTTTTGCATTTATGTATATTGATAATGACCTATAATTTTATAATTTTTCTGTCCTTACTTCCCTTTATTTACTTTTGACATGAAAATTATACTAGTCTTAGGTAATTAGTTGGTGGAGTTGGGGGTGGTTTCTGATCTCATGGAGAATGTGTGTAAGATTGAAGTTGGTGCCAATTTTTTAAAAAGATATTTTAAATGCTGGTTCAATTTTAAAAATAGTTACAGGTTTATTTAAAGCTGTTCTGTTTTTGTTCATTCAAGTGTATTATGTCAGTTTGTAATGAATGTTTTGCTATCTCTTTAGCTGCAAATATTTTGAGAGCATGAAAATAATGGAAAATATTAAAGAATCCTTCTCAAAGTTTTATTTTATGTTCCTTCTCAGGTACTCAAAAGTGTGATAACTTTGCTGAAAAAAGGCCTCTCCTTGGTGTTTGTAAGAGCACTGGATCTTCTGGGTAAGGAAATTAAAAAATTCTTTGAACCACTATTAAAAATTTGTATTGTTATTTCAGAGAGTGAATTTTGGTATCTTAAAATCTTTGTTACCATAAGACAATGCTTTTACAAGAGAGAAGAGAAAGGAATTAAAAACATATTTAGGGTTTCCTGTGGCTCTGGCCTTGTTATTTCTCTGTTTACTGTTTTCTCATATGCAGGGTGATAGCAAGAGACAAAAGAAAACAAGCAATAGATCAGAATTCAGTCTTGAAATAAAAGATTAGCATCATTAAGAAAAATGTTTTTTAGTTTATGTGTTTTTTATCTTAGTAACTTTTATGGAGACCAAACTAAAATCTGGGGAGCCTTGAAACTGTTCTGAATGTTGAATGTGGCACCCTACCCACACACAGATCCTTTTGGAAAGGATCCTTTATTGAATATTTGAGTAAATTCTCTCTTGAATCATTGACTAACCACTGAGCTGCATAGACATGGGGCAACCCTAGGAAACCAGACTTTAAAATAACAAGAAATAAAGTAAAACTGAGCAGAGATATTAGTAGCTGCACATTGTAGAGGAAGACAGATTTACAGAGTTGTTACACCATATTATATTTATATAATTTTAATGTCGAGTTTTCAACATAAAGTTAGGACACATTCCAAGAAACAAGAAAGTGTGGCACGTTGAGGAAAAAAGGGAGGCAGGAGAAACTGTTCTGTTAGTCTCTCGATGTTAAATTTTACAGATAAGGATTTAAAATATGTTCTAAGAAGTAAATGAGTTGTGTTTCTAAAATTAAAGAAAGTTTGGTAACAGTGACTCAACAAATAGAGCCCCTCCCTAATGGAAATTCTGGAGTTGAAAAGATGCAAAAAGTGAAATGATAATATCACTAGAGGGACTCAATACCATAGTCAAGCCAGCATGAGAATTAGAGAACTGATGTGTTGACAGGTGCTGAGCAAGAGTGGGAGCCACAAAGAGGGTAAGCTGCTATGGTAAAGGGAAACTTTGTTGACTTCAGTTTTCCTGATGTTTAGTCATTTGTAGTTCAGGTGCATATAGACCTGTGGAAACCCCACGAGAAGATGTGTTCGTGGAAGGCATTCACCTACCTGCTGAGTTGGGTTTGCAATTTTTGAAAGATTTTCCACTCCTTATCAACCCTGCTAACATTAGTATGATTAAGAAGGTTGTTTTTGTTCTTACAAGATTCATTTATTTAGGTATCACTTTATAAAAAAAAATAAGGCAAAAAGGAAGGATAAGGTGATTATATGCAGTTGGTGATGAGATCATTTATTGAGGGATAAATTTAATGGTATGGGGGTCATATTAATTAGGGTTCTCCAGAGAAACAAAACCAGTATGATGTGGGGTATATATGTGTGTGGTTGTATGGAGAGAGAAAGAGAGAGAGAGAGGGAGAGCGAGAGAGGTTGAGATTGAGATTTTAAGAAATTGGCTCACATGACTGTCAAGACTGGCAAGTCCAGAATCTAGACACTGAGGAAAAGTTGCAATTCCAGTGCAAAGATGGAATTGTCTCTTCCTCCAAGGAGGTCAGCTTTTTTTCCTGTTAAGGCTTTCAACTGATTGGATGAGGCACGCTCACATTACGGAGCATAATCTGCTTAACTCAAACTTTACTGATTTAAATATTAATCTTATGTAAAAACTACCTTCTCGGAAACATCTAGAATAATATTTGACCAAATCTGGTTATTGTGGCCTAGCCCTATTGACATATAAAATTAATCACCACAGGGGCAGTGAATTTAGTCCTAATTAAAATAGCATTTGCCTATTTAAAAAAAGTCTATTGTAGATATTTATTTTCCTCCTCTCATTTCTGCTCCTTAAATTATTTCATAGTAGAGGAATCATTCTAGTAAGAGACTTTTATATGTATCATTTGCTGGGTTGTTTTAAGAGTGGTTATGGATGAATAAATGCAAAGATACTTTTGAATTAAGTTCATAAGTCATTTCATGGACTGTAACTTCTAGCATGATGTATCCTGTTTTTATTGGATATAAGCTCTCTCTTGCCTGCATGCTGTCTTTTTTTCTCTCTTGTTCTATACCTTTCTTTCTAATGGAAGACAATTGCAGGAAATACTCATATTGTTTTCATTTATTTATTGTTATTACAATAAACAACTGTTGTGTGTAGCATCTTTTTTAGAATGTTTATAGTCTCAAGAAGGACATTTTCATGTAGGATTGTGTTACATTTCTTGCAAGTGTTATAATTGTTGGTGAATAGAATATCCTCTAATCTGAGCTAGTGCTTTGTATGTATATATTTTAAATTATTCTAAGTGGGCAGTAGGTTAGCAGATGGTAATGTTGAATAGACTAGACACTTTTTAATAACTCCGAAGTTGAATATAATAACAGAAATCTAGTTATAGGTCAATTCTTTTAGAATCTGTTTCCCAGATTCTGAGATTTAAAAAAAAGTTATAACCCCAAATTTTTATGTGGCATGTGCTTGTTGACTGTGCTAATATAGCACTGGGGAATGGAAAGCAAATGTTGAATGCCTACTATGTATCAGGTCTGTTAAATATTTTCTACTATGTTACATCATTTAATCTTAAAACAAGCCTGTGAAGGAGATTGTATTATCCTCATTTTATCCATGAGGAAACCGAAATTAAGTGAGGTTCAATCACAGTTGTGGACCCAGACCTTTGCCCATTTGCCAGGTCTGTAGCTGGAACATGCATTTGCATTTAGGGTGCTCTACCTTCTTGTTCATGTATTAAATTTACTTTTCTGTTTTCTGGCCAGTTATTTTTAGAGTTAATAAAGAATTATTTTAAAATGTAGCAAGTAAGTTGTACTTACACACTTATTTAAACAGTAACTTCTTAGGAGACTTTTTGTTATTTGCGTATTTTGTCTCAGTATTTCTGTAGAAGTGAAATATATATATTTTTTAAAGATTTATTTGTCAGAGAGAGGGAGAGAGAGCACAAACGGGGGAGAGGGAGAAGCAGGCTTCCCACTGAGCAGGGAGCCCTATTGGGACTCGATCCCAGGACCACGGGTCATGACCTGAGCCGAAGGCAGAAGCTTAACCGACTGAGTCACCCAGGCGTCCCAGAAGTGGAATATACTTTTGTTGTTGATTTTACTTTTATTGTTTTAAACAGTGTGATGCATACTGTTATGCAGCTACTTAGTTGGAATTTTTCAGAGTGTAAAGGGACCTCCCTGATTTGTTTTTTCTTCATTTGAACACATTGTTTAGTAAATGTGAAGGGGATCTCCTTTGCATGATAGCAGTAATATACAAAGGACATGGACATTGGAAAATAGAACTAGCTAATTTAAGAAACACTTAAAAATTGTTTTTGTTGTTTTTATTATGCACTACATTATTGCATAACCTTCTAGAAGGGGTAGATGAGCATAAAGGAGTTATTTTTCATTAACCAAGAAAATGCTTCCTTAATCGATGTTCTCCAAGTCCTTTGACACATAGTAATGATGAATTCCAGAGAGGCCTTATCTCTTTCTGTCAGACTCCAATAATATGAATAATGGGCAACCCTTTCTTCCTTACCCCCATCAGTGAACCTGTGGATGTGCATAGTGGCTATGCCAGGAATGAACAAGCACACAGCCGTAACACCCATCTTGGGCAGAATCTTGAACTACATTGTGCCGTGGTTGCCAAGGCCAAGAAACACTCTTATTTAATGAAGTGTAGTGCCAACCTTTGTCCAAAACAAAGTAATTCCAAGACAGGGTGGGTTCCCTACTAATATTCAAATAAATCTCTCTTATCATCTTAAATTCACCTTGAAAAAGAAAGTAAGTGTAATAGCTAAATAAGAATAAAGACTTAATTTAAAAATTAAGGACTGTTCATTAAATATAATACAGCTAGTTCACGGTATTAATTTTTTGCAGTTTTGTTGCAGACTGCTAGAGTCATCTTGGATTGGCAGAATTCCGTGGGACTGGTATTTGGTAGCCACTGCCTGAAAGCAGTAGTTATTTAGGTAGAGGTTAAGCACTGTTTCAGTGTGCTGAAGTGTTACTGAAGAGACTTTATTTCAAGTTGTGTATAAAGTAAATAAAAGTTTTGTTAATGAAAACCAGAAGGGAGATTACTTGGGATAATAGGTACGCAATGTTTCTTTTTGGCATGAAATGTCACAGATGATGTTATATATGATAGCATGTATTTTGAGTTTTGACTAATTTTCATCCTGTTGTATTCATGAGGACTGATGAAATCACATTTTGGGCTGGTATTAACTTCTGCAGACACAAACAAGAGATTTATACTGTTCTTCCGGTTTTCGGTGCTTTAACACATGGGCTTTCCAAACAGTTCCTTGGCCTTCCTTCAAGGACCAAGTCTTTTACTTGCCCATCTCTGGTGGTTTTTCACTCCTGTGGGTGTTCTGCATTTTCTTCTGGTTCTCTGTATGGCTCTGTGGCTCTCTTTATTGCTTTCAAAGAATGGGCTTTTACATCTTCGACATACCATTTATCAGAGCTGCCACATTGGCATAGAGGTTTTTAATGCAATGGATCAGCATTGTAGGGTATCCAGTGTCATGGCTTGCTCATAGGGCTCTGGACTTTAGTATTAATCTAGAGTATGCCCTGTTCATCTGATTGTGGATATAATGAAATCTTAAGGAAATAAGATGACATTACTATTACTACTTAAGTACTTTCTCTCATGTGGCTTAGAGATATACTTTATATATCTTGAAATGTTGCACTACCTTTAGTAAACAAAAGTCACTAGCATGAATGTTAATTATCCAGCATTTACCATATTCACTTACTCGCTTAAAGCAAATTTTTAATTTTCCTATGGGGGAAGGCAGAGAGCCAGAATATTTCACACTTGATTCACACTTACAAAGTTTTAAAACACATGGTGGACAAATCTGTAAACTGAGACACATATTATTATGTAATATTTTAACCATGGAAAGTTTTTAAAATATGTTTATTTTAAAAAATAGTATCTGAA